GGGAAAGGAAATGAGGCTGGTGGAACAGGGAGTGAAAGCAGAGGTGAGGCACCTCTGAAGTTCTTGGAGTGAAAGCAGAGGTGAGGCACCTCTGAAGTTCTTGAACAGCATTATCTTGAGTTCCAGTCATGGACGAAGCTAAGATTCTCCTGAGATCCTGAGGCTTGATGTTTTCAGGAGGGCAAGCAGTCATAGGCATGCTTAAAATCAGCTGAAGTTTGGCTTTAAAAGGACAGCCCTACATAATGCTAATACTCTGGAAAATCAGGCTATAGCAATTTTAACTGAGATATAAAAATTATGTTCATTAACACTTGTAAGGAATGCTGTAGAAAAGCCAACCAGGAAATTCAATTTTGAAAATGGGGTTTGAGTAATGTGCAATAAATGTTGAGGATAATTTAGTTTCTTGAGGTGGAGAAAATTACCGTGGGAAGCTCATTTAGATTTGGTACTGATTAATAGGAAGGAAATGGCTAAGATTCTAATGGTGGTAGATAATTTGAATGAAAATCATCAGAATGTTATAGAGTTCATGATTCTTAGGAGAAGTGAAGGATGACAATATCAGCAAGACATTTTAAAAAAAAAAAGATTTCAACAAACTCAGAGAACTGGTAGCTTCAGCTCTTGGGAACATGTTGTATGCAGGTGGGAGCGGAAGCTACCAAGGAAGACTTAGTGAAGGGCTGAAGAACAAATGGACTCCATTTTCTATACCAATATTATTATAATAGAAAACCAGTAGCATGGGGAAAAAGGTGTGTGTAGCTCTGTATACAGCTTGCATGTTGCATGAACTTGCGTGCTGAAGCTTGAAAACATCAAACACAGCTTGTGTAGCACTGGTTTTAGTTTTTCTTGATATCAGAGTAATGTAGAACCGTGTTTCTTTTCTGATTCTCAAATTGTTTCACAAAATTTAGAAACAAGCATGTAACTCAAGGTGAACTTAAAAATACAGTATAGAAATCAAGAGTGTAAATGAAGCTACAGGAGGATGTTAGATAACAAGAATTACGTAAATGGTTTAGAAGTAAGGGGAAGCTGAGTGAAATATCTCTCAATTATTTACTGACAAATGGGGAAAACACAACATGGGGAATGTGCAATTGCTGTTGTTGTTGTTTCCTGTCTGCAGCCAGGAGAGGAATGAGCTAAAGAATAAGTATTTCAATAAATTAGATGTTCCCATGTCAGCAGTCCTGTGTGAATACAGAAGGAAGTAATAAAGAGCATCTAGTGTATATCTTCTGGGTGAGAAATTGCTCAGTCCTAAGGAAGTAACGAAAACCAAGTCCTACCAAGAGAAACTGAACCTATGAACCAACCCTCTCCCTTCTGCCCCACCTCCCTCCCCCTCCAAAAAAAGTAAAGGAAATTGTAGATTACTCATCCTAACTTTTCTGTATTGAAAACACAAGAACAAGTTATTACTCGAGATACAAGCTTTTCAAGAATCAGATTCTGATAAACTGACCAGTATGGATTTATTGAGAACAAATTGTGCCCAGTTAATTTAATCTCCTCTTTTGACAGCATAGATGCTCTAATTAAGGGAAGTGATAGATTTTTGACACATGAAATTTTTATCAGGAAGCTGAGAAACAGCGACTTGAATTAAATACTCAGCTACTTGAAAAAACTCATACTTGATATCAGTGTGAAAAAAGTCTGGCTCCATCTCCTTAACTGCCTGTTATCAGGTATTGATACACATTGATAAGATTTCCTGGGGCCTTCTCTCCAGGCTGGAGTCCCAGCTTCCTGGCCTCTTCTTGTGTGACAGATGCTCCAGTCCCCCAGTCTTTGTGGCTGTTCACTGGACTCACTCCAGTATGGCCATGTCCTTCTACAGGAAGCCCAGAACTGGACTTGTCTCAGCAGCACTGAGTAGAGGGAAAGGGTCACCTGCCTTGACCTGCTGGTGATGCTCTTCTTAGTGCAGCCCAGGATGCTGTGGCCTTTCTTTGCTGCACAGGCACTTTGCTGCCTTATGATCAGCTTGTCCATCAGGACTCTTGTGTCCTTCTCAGCAAAGTTTCTCCTGTCAGTTGGCTGCTATATGTTCACTATTTGTGATCAAACTGGAGTCCTACAGAAAACTCTTCTTGTCCCAGTTCTGTGTGATACTTGTCTGAACAGCTAGTGTGCTTGAGTAATAACATTGGTGGATGGTGCAGAGCTGAAAGAGGTAGCAAACACAATTGAGAATATATTAAATGATACTGAAATTATTGATGAATTTCTCAAAATGGGAAGAAAAAATGATTGCACAAAGATGGCATGGGAACTGAAGATGTTCACCATCTCCAGGTGCTTTGGGAGATACAATAGATGACAAAGTGAATGAAAGTCAACAATTTAAAATGCTAAAATTCATACTGGGTTTGTCAAACTCATGAGCATTTTGTATGTAAAACACCAAGGGTGTTACTGTGCACTGGTGAGGCTGCAGGTGGGATTCTGTGGGCACTGTGTTGTGAGAAAGCGAGTAATGAGAGATGATTAAATAAGGACCTAAGAAGAACTGGGTTTGCTTTGTTTAGAGAGGGGAAGAGTGGATACAAGCCCTTACCATTTCATACATGCTGGGTGTCAGATGACAAGGTAGAATAATTTTTATTTCTAGGTGGACAGAGATGAATAAGTTTTAGCCTGATTTAAAAGAGCAATTATTTGGGTTAGATTCTTTAAGTATTTCTGTGAGACTTCAAAAGTGCTGAATCAGGCATCTGAAGGGAGAGTGTATGGAGCTGCAGAGCTGCTTCAGAGTGGCTGTTGAAGAAGCAGGAAGAGGATTGCCCTGGGTGCACTGATCCTGCCTCAGGGCTGGGTGAAGCAACCTCCTGCCTGGTCCTGCATCCCTTTGTGGTGGTCTCTTGATAGCGTGTGTTGGAGTGAAGGCTTTTAGAGCTTGGTATTTTTAGTGCCAGTCATTTTTACTAGGTCTGTACTTGTAATTTGTGTTCATGCTGTGGCTATTCTGAAGTTTTCCTTCTACTCTAATGCACTGTGATCTTGCTGCTGCAGCTTTGGCCTTAGCTTCAGCTGAAAAAGTAACACATGTAAGTGAGCTAATATGCACACAGTTATGCTGTCTTGGACAAATCTGATGAAGTCCACTATTAAAAGATGCCTTCATGGTCCTGGAATATGGAGTTCTGTTGAGATCCCTTTTCACTAGCATCTGTTTTTGAAGTTTGACTACAGCGTCTGAAGAAGTACTAATGCCCTTCCCAGCAGTTAAGCCAGCTCACAGTACTTTATGCAGCCAAGGATTCTGGTTGTTTTAGCTGCAGAGGTATAAAGGTAAACCTTAGCCTTGCTTTCATGCTGCATTCTGGGCTGTAGGGTTTGTGAACTGAGTTTCCAGGTGGATTGATCTTGCATCGACTCAGGTCAAGCAGAGAGTTAGCCTCTGTTGGTTTCAGTGATTTTCCTATCAGGAAGTTATCATCTGCAATTTCTAGACCCATAAACATGGGTTACTAGCAGCAGCCTGAGACCACCAGAATGTGTTTTCAGAAACAAAATCTGACCGTTTGATTTTTGTTGTTCTTTATTCTTTTCTCCTGTTCAGGTGTTAAAGTAGTTGCTCATGCTTATTTTCTTGTCTGATTTGATGTTCAGTTGAACAGACATTTTTTGATGCGTCTCTTAGGCTATTGATTTATCTTCCTGCCAGGTGCTGTTCTGCTGAACTACTGGTAAATATAAAGCAAGTCATGGTAGCTTTTGATCCAATGTAATATTCCTTCCTTTCTTTAGCTAGTGGTACAGGGCTCACCATTTCAAAATAGAAATGAAATAAAAAGCATGTTTTTAACCAAAACAGGTAGGTCACTGACTTGAGGTGCCAGCTGTGTCTGGAAGGCAGTTTTTTTTCCTCTATTTTACAGGCAATGCCAGTGCAGTGAAGCAGTCCCGGTACAGGATTATCATTCAGGAGGCTGCCAATGGGGGACAGGCATGCCCAGATACCTTGTATGAGGAAAGAGAATGTGAAGATACTCCCATCTGTCCAGTGTATCGGTAAGAAGTGTTAGCTTGGAATCAGTCTCTTGCTAGTGGGTGTCCACTTCTTTGAAATGACTCTTGTGTGATTGCCTCGCACACTTTTCAACAGAAAACAATATAAAACTGGAAAAATGCATTTGCAAACAAATAATGTACCTCACTGAATGTGTTAAAAGTAGAGTTTAAGTTAGAGATTTCAATGGATCTGGCGTCATCAGAACAAGTGCCAACAGACACAGCTCCTAGAAATGGTGGCCTCAGAGGTCAGTGTGTTTAAGGAAGATATTACTGGGAACTCCCCCCCCAATGTATCTAAAATCAGTGTAAGCTGTTTGGAACCTCAAGCACTTGGCTGCTTTAATCATAATTGTAAGCTTGTTGCAGAAACTCTTGGCTTTTCCCCTGATGCTCTCACTCCAGTGAGTAATACACACCAAAAATTCTGGTCAGACAAATAGTACAATGCTCACCACTCTCCATGAAAATTCCATGACCCATCTGTTATACAAGATTAGTAAACAGCAAAGCATTCTGTCTTTGCAGATAAATCGTCATCCCACACACCTTGTAGGTCACGGTTTCAGGGCAGAGTGGGGAGCTGAAGATGGTGCCAATGCAGGAGTGGCACCCCTCAGCTCTGCTTGGCTCCCTGCTGTGTGGGACTGGGGAGAGCTGCTGTCTCATGTCCATGACTGACACACATCCCAGCACAGAAACCAGGTTGGGTATGGCATCAATTGTAGGGCTTACAGGAAGGGAGAGCCTGATTTCAAAGCCCACTGGAGATGTTCCCTGTGTGTTTAATGTGAACCATGCTTTGAAAAAAATGAGGAAGGAAAACATAGTTGGAAGATGATACGGATTTCTAGAAGGTGAACCTTGCATCTGAGTTTCAGTTCACAAGGCTTATTTCAGGAGTAATTTCAGCTTTTTCACTCTTCTTGAAGTCTCCATGGTATGTCATCATCTATAACTGAAGTTCTTGCCTGTATTTGAGGTATTGACTGTTCTCCAGTTTTAACAACTGAATTGTTCACCTGCGTTTCCTCTCACAGGTGGAAGACCCACCGCTGGAGTCACTGTGTGCTCGTGCCAGATTTGGTGAGACAGGCATTGCCAGGGCACAGTGAGGCGTGTGGACATGGTTTGCAGTCAAGGGGTAAGCTTTCTTCATGCTGCTTCCAAATATTTAAGGTATTGGTATGTGAGATTTAAGTAGGGTTTTTACTCTTCTGCACTAGATAATTTGGAAACTAAGTGACTCAAGCACTTACAGTGTTTTAGGAGGTGGACCCATTGTAAAGTTTGGCTACTGTGTTGGATGTTAAAATAACAAGATGAGAGTGTGCTTGGAGTATGGAGGAGATTTATACTTTGTGTTCAAGTATCTTTACAGTAACCTGCTCTTCTGCCTAAAGATTAAGCATATGGGCTATAAAAAAAGATCTGTCTGTAGGAATCTATGAAGCAATCCATTATTGGTGCTGAAAATAGAACAGATAATTTCCTAGTGATTTTAAATCTTACTAATAATTTGCCTGAGGCCTAATTTTCATTTAGACTATTAGAGTGTTTGGTGTGGGTAAAGGCTTTAGGCTCCTGCCCTTGGCATGATTAAGCACTTGGAAAATACAGTGATCCCACTGTGTGAACAAAAGCATAGAGAAGAATTTCACTGTTCAGAGTGTGTGATTAGAGGCTGGTGGCTCCTGCAGAGGACTGGAGATCTGGCTCTTTTCAGTATCCTGTGAAATCTAATGAAACCTTTAAGAAAAGGTTATTTTTATTGAGAAAAAGAATTACTATACAGGTATGCTAACTGAAGAAAGTTGACATAATAATTTACTCCTTTGCCAGGGTAGAAACTGTTCTTTAAAGATGAAGTGAATTTCTTACATAATCTGGAAACAAAGGAAAAGAAAGAAAAGCCCTGACAGTATGTGGGCTGTATCTGAAAGAAGAAATGTGTTTTAAATTAAAGCTCGAAGAGTAAATATCTTGAACAAGGTTTTGGCCACAAAACCTTTACACAGGTTTTTAAAAGAGAACTCTTTAAATTGTGATGTCCTAAAATGTATTCCTCCATCTCCATATGAAGAGAAGGTAATCTTTATGCTCCAGCAGGTGCATGAACTTTGTATTAATCTTACTCTGATAGAATTTGAAGTATAATAGAAGAGTATCATGCTTATTTTTGCTGCGTGGAGAGTCCTCCAACAGCTGCATAGGCTTTGTGCTGTGTGCGTGGTTATAATGGAAAAGGAATCTCATAACCTGGTGGGTTTAAGCAAAATTGGTTTCAGTGCCATGTTCACTTTTTGTAATTAACTGTGGTTTTTGCACCACCTTTGTTTTTTATAATTACATGGTGTGATGGAACCCATCTGCTAGGTGTTATTGCAGATGGGTGGGGTTTCAGGAAAACAAGTTCTCAGATGGAACCCATGGAAGAAGTTTTTCAAGATGTTTCCTACAAAGAGGAGCGATCTCTATGGGGAAAGCAGCTGAAGCAAAGCTGCTAACTGACCATATTGCTGCTGATAAACAAGCTGTTAGATTTTCAGTGATTCTGTATTTTATCCATGCAAGTGTTTAGTAAGGGAAACTGTCATAAAACTGCTGTTAATACTTGATGCTACATGAACTCTTCAAGAGCAGCTAGCATGTGTGAGGAGGTGCTGTCTCACCATATTGTCAGGGAGTAGCCATTCAGCCAGGGGTGGCATTTGCTTACATGCCTTGCAGGGTCTTTTCAGTTTATAGATGTTGATGCTGGAGAGCTTCTGATCCACTCATTCTTGACTATGAAGGAGATGTTTGGAGATATTTTTGAAATGCATGAGGTGAGGCTGGTAATTTGGATTTGTTCAGCCTGGAGAAGTGTCTAATAGGAGTGGGGCTCACAGAGAAGATAGAGCCACACTGTTCCCAGAGGTGCACAGGGAAATACCAGAAGGTAACAGCCATAGGGTGTAGTGAGGGAAATTCCCAGGCTGCCCAGAGAGACTGTAAATTCCTTGGAAATACTGAAAACTAAACTGAATAAGGTCTTGAGCAGCCTATTCTAACTTCGAGTTAAGTCCTGGTGAGAGCAGGCATTGGATCTTCAGAGGTCCCTTCTGTTCTAAATTATATTGTAAAATTCTGTGAGTCTGTGGGACTTCCCAGGAGAATCTCTGCCATCGGTGGAAGAACGCCAGGTATTATAAATAGATGCTTTTCTGCAATATTCAGGCACCCTCCAAATGAGTTTGCATTCAAGGTGTCACCACCACTCCACACAGTAATTGGCTTGCATAATGTGTCAGCATCTTTAGCCAGTAAGTGCTTATTCTCTGAAGAGTATTTATATGAATTTGCCCAATTTCTTTTTTTTGCCATGTAACAGCAATTACCTCTTTAACCACAGAAGATAATCAGTCTTGCTGTTCCTTAGAGCATCTGTTTTAAGAATTTTTTTTCTTTTGCTGCCCAGATCCTGTCTGTCTCGTAAATAAGAGCATTTTTGTTTTCAATGACTGTTGTATCTAGCAAATTATATAGGGACAGTGAAATCATATAAATTATTTGTAAAGAAAGAAAGTGTATGTTTATGTGTACCTATTTAGGATGATGACTGTGCTGAGGGAAAAAAATTAAGTCTGAATTGACTTTCAGGCTCCATTCTTTCTCTAGGCTAGATTCTGACGCAGATGCTTACAGGCCTTGTTCTCTGAGTGTTTTCACTGAAATTGCATGTAAATGTACTATGTAACATGGAGAAGATACCAGAATTTGTCTGTGAATAATAAGCAGAATAGCAGAGGAGATGACAGCCATCTGAAGCTGCAGTTTTCATGACTTTATCTTGGAATTATATTACACTAATTCCAGCAGCCTTTCTTTTTAGGTATCAGCTTCAATGGATGAACTTGTTCAGAAAACAATCCTGCAGTAAGAGAAAAGTAGTATTTAGGACTAAGAAGTACAGTTGTTTTTCAGACTTCATTAAGGCATGATTTGCAAAAAGCCCCGATATAGAGCACTCAAGTAAAACAGGGTGGGGATGTTACTGCTGCTTGACAGTGATGCAGACAACATTTCTAACTAAATGAAGAGCTTTACAAGCTCTTCTGTTGCTATATAGCTGTCATTCTGCTCGACAAGTGACTAATTTACTAGAAGGTGTCAAGACTGTGAGAAAATAGCTGCTCCTTTGGATGCCCTTCAGTGACTTTACTGTTCTCAGATGTTTGTGATGGAGGATCCTTCAGAAATGACCGCTCCCTTCAGTGCTGACATGAGCAGCCACCTCAAACATTTCAATTTTTGGGGAAAAAATGTATTGCTCATTACAAGGGATTGTTAAGATTTAGTTAGTGGATGGAAAGTCTATTTTAAGAGAGTGTCTTTTGAAGGCTGCTTCAAAAGCCATTGATAAAGTAAATAGACATGTATTAAAGACCAGACTGATGTAATGAGACTCTGCTTTAAAAACTAGTCTTGGAAGTACATTGTCAACACGGTAATACAAGAAGTAGTTACTTTCCAAAAGCAAGGAGAAGCTGCAGCAGTGGAACATGTCATGTCTTATTTCTTCTGCTCCTGCTGGTTCTTAACTGTGTGATTCATTTGGACAATTTGACCATATCTCCCCCCCATTAACAAGACAGTGAGTCTGTCTGAGAGCTGTAACTCCCCATCGCAAGAATACGAGAAATGCTGTGACACAGAGCAGAAAATATTCTTAGAGAAGAATGTATTGGTTTATATACAGGAAAACAACAACAAACCTACCAGTGCAATAATGGGAAACTATTCCTCTGCTTTGGAGAAGTGCTGTCTCCCTGGCTCACCTGAAGTCATGGAGTGGATCCATACTGGAAAGCCTCACTGGGCAGCACAGGGGAATATATTTTTTGTTAGGCTCTACTGTCAGACCAGATATGGTGTATTTCTAACCAGATTGTAAATTCACACCAATGGTCTTTGCTAAGGTGGTTTGTGTTAAATATAATCCGTTTCAGTTGAAAAGCTGATACATGAATTGACAGTGAAAAAGTAGAATGCAGGCAGCACCTGACTCAGACAATTTAAGATTCCTGTCTCCTTCACTGCAGGTTTCTGGCTCTTGCTCTGGAGCTTCCTGATAGCTATAGGGATATTGCAGACAAGTCTGGTTTTAAGACCGAGATGCAGATCAAAACCTTATCATTATGAGAACAAAAATTGTAACAATCTGCTATCTAAGTGTGTCTAAATGCAATAATAGTTCCAGTAAAATCCTACGTAAAATACAGGCAGAACTGTGATTACAAATTTGTAATAAATTAGTGACTGTTAATGTGTTCCATATTAAGCAAGATGAAAGAATGAATTTTGTTATTGCCTGGTAGCATTGCATAAGCAAAAATATTTCAAATATGTGTCTTTTAGCTGCCTTATCTCATGTATTACCAATCTGTAACACAATAATGGCCATATACATTACTGTTTCTGCTGAAATTATTTTCTGGTAACCTATTTATAATGAGATGAGCCATTGAAAAAGCATCAGCGTTACTTTTTTTTGTTCATAAGATAGTCACCCAACAGTTCTTATTCCCTTTTTTGTTGGTAGTTAATGTAGCTGCTGATTAGCTAAATTAAGAGATGCATTTGTTGTAATTTGAGTTGCAGAATGCTTTTGCACAGAACTAGCAATTTCAGGAAGTACATATAACAATCCTGTTATAGTTTATAAGCTAGAGGAAATGTGATAGCCTGAAGTTTACAATGAAAATGTGGCAAAGGCACAGACTGCTTCAGTTGGTGGTATTTTATGAGCAGTGCTTTGTGGTGCAGCCCTGTGTATAAATCTGTCCAGCTGATAGCAGCTTACCTGTCATCAGAAGCTATCTCCAATATTAATTTTGCCTGGTAGGACACTGGCACCTTGAGCCTTATTCTGAGCAATGCTGGGGGTTCATTAGGTTTGTCAGTGTTTTTTCCGATGATGCTAGTGCAGGGTAATGAGTGCTGTCAGGCACATAAATGGGAGTACAGCAAGCTGAACCTGAGTAGTCTTAGTTGGTGTCACTGTCTGGAAGGCATCTGCTTGGCATCTGGTGGCACTTGTAGCAAATAATCAAGGGAAAAATAATTACCAGGACAGGACTCAGCTCCTGTGTGCGATACATT